ATGTATGTATGTATGTATGTATGTATATGTGTATATATATATATATAAATATACATACATATATACATACACACACACACACACATATATATACATACATACATGTGTGTGTATGTACACACAAACACACATATTCATTCCCCCCCCCCCCCAAATCAAGGTTTAGGGTATATTGGATAATTATAATAATGCTGAGTTGCCCTGTAACTTTTAAAGCACTTTTAATGATAATGTGAGAAAAGTATACCATGAAACCATGATATAAACAGTGCTTAAAAGCGTCTGTTTGAATATAAATCCTTAGAACTTTACTATGTAGAATTAATCTTAACATTTGAAGTGTGGTAGGATTTATTATTATTTTTATTATTTTTTCTGAAGCTGCTATTACTCTGACATGGTAGAATCATAGATTCACACCATATGGTGGAACTGACTGAGATGAAGTGTGAGATTGCGTTAATCTCATTTGAGGTCCAAAATAGGCAAAAAAAAAAAAAATGTTGATGGAATGGATAAAACGTACTGGCAGTATAGTCAATGACAAAACCTCTTCAAAAGGGAATAATTTAACAAAAGCTGTATTTTGATATGGTTCTATATGCTTGCTTGTACAGTAAACAAGACTGTGTTGGTTTTTTTTACCAAATCTTTATCAATAAAAACAAAATTTGTACATGCAAAATCACAACTCCCTTGGGTAGAAGGCAGTATTACATGTAATTTACAGAGTTATAAAAGCATCATTTGAATTGTGCTGGTTATTGTATTTCCCCCTCAGAATAGTATGACTTGTTTGGTCCTTCATACAGTGTCTTAGCAATAGTCAAAACATGTCAGGGGAAAGGGGTAGCAATTTTTCATCATGATTACTACATATTTAATATTTCGCCCTTTGTAATATAGCACTTTTGTTTCTTGTATGTTATCCACAATATAGCCAAAGTTTTCCAAACACAATTGTTGACTTAGTCAATGAGTATTTCAATAATACCACTTTGTACCATCTCCCGCCCCAACATACCCTGAAAGAAAACCCTAAGCATAATTTTTAATAAATTTATGAAATAAAGTATTTTCCTAATTATGGTGAAGTGAATTTGCTTACCATTCTAGTGATCTTTGTCTACAATAAGGCAATTTTACAGTTTCAGCAGTATGAATACAAAGTAAAATTTGTTTTTAAATCAGTATCAGTTGCAAGAAGAGAAGTACGCACTCTTGTCAGCTAAAACAATATGCAAGTGTGGCTGCATAATGAATTGTTAAGAATCTTCATTAGAATTACATTAATACTGAAATTTCAGTACAAATATCCAGGATGGTGAAGAAGTGTATGTTGGTAGTGACTAAAATAACTTTAGTTGTTATTTGCCTTGTATTCCTATTCTTTGTTTTGGGCTTCATGATCTGTCTTAGTCCTGTTTTATTTTCCTTGAACATTTTGCAATATTTGCCAGTTGTGTTCTGTGTAGTCTGAATTTGCTTTCTTGTAGTTGAACAAGCGTCTTAAAAGTTATTTGTAATTTATTGAATTACTTTCTATGATGTTCTATAGAGCAAATGGAAGTTTAATTATTTTTTATTAAACATATTCTTTGACAACCCATGATGTTGGTCTCACTACATTGAAAATACCTTTTTGTGACACACCTTAGTTGTCACACAACGTAATAAAAATTGACAATAGCAATAGCAGTTAGACTTATATACCGCTTCATAGGGCTTTCAGCCCTCTCTAAGCGGTTTACAGAGTCAGCATATCGCCCCCAACAACAATCCGGGTCCTCATTTTACCCACCTCGGAAGGATGGAAGGCTGAGTCAACCTTGAGCCGGTGAGATTTGAACAGCCGAACTGCAGAACTGTAGTCAGCTGAAGTAGCCTGCAGTGCTGCCTTTAACCACTGCGCCACCTCGGCTCTTGAGATAATTCTGAGATATGAGATAATTCTGCATGCATTTTGAAGGAATCAAATGCGTTCCACCCAAGAATTATTGGAGGAAGTTCTTGACAAAGCAAGATTGCAAATACATGACAGTTCCCTTCAAAAGGTGTACATTCTGTGAGTTTTCAGTTACATGCTTGGGATTTAGCTAGAGGGAACACTTGTCTAAAAAATGTCCAGAAATACATTGAAATTAATTAAGTGATCATGAAAATCAGATGGGCAACATCTGATTTTTTTACTTCAATATCTAGGTTGTACAACTCCCAGGATCACTGCCTTTCCACTGGCCACATCCACTTCTGCCATATCCGTCATCGGATGTTGGCAATCCTATTTTTGTCAACAGCTGCATGAAAAAGTGCTGCTGAGTTTTCTCCAAACCAGACCCTTAGGTTTTGAAGCCATGATGTTCTTCTTCTGCCTGGACTTCATTTGCCTTCGATCTTTCCCTGGAGGATTAAGTGAAGGATGCCGTATTTTTCTGGGTGTCTCATCACATGTCCAAAATATTTTAACTTTCGCTTTTTATTGTCTTTGACTTTGAAAGTCTTTGGCTTTGTTTATCACAAAGGATGATCACATAACCCCGGGACTTTGCAGCGGTCATAAATATGAACCCGTTGTCAAGCATTGGAATGTAAATTACATGACCCTGGGGATGCTGCAAAGGGCTGTGAGTATGTGAAAATGGCCAAACGTTGCTTTTTTAAGTGTCATAACTTCAAAAGGTCACTCAATGAACTGTTCTAAATCAGGGACTACCTGTAATAAGATCCTTTCGGTCATTGGCGGATTTGGCCTCACCTGAATGGCATCCGAGACAGGTGTGGGAGGAGCCAACCTTGCAGGCTATATCCAATCACGATTAAGTTTGATAACAAGCGGTGGTCGTTCCAAAGCATCCTTGAAGGAAGCCTGGACTTCAACTCCCAGAATTCCTCAGGAATTCTCTCCTGCGCCCCGCCTCCGAACCTGAACAGGACCCCGCTGATTGGCTCGAACGCTTCTCCTCCCACCCAATGGGAGAGGCCGCGAGGGGCGTGGCCGGCGGCGACGAGGGAGGCGGGAACCAAGCTCTGCCCCCTCTTCCCCCACACGCACGCACACAAACAAGCCGCGGCGCAGGCGCAGTGCGGGCCCAGCCGCGCGAGCCGCGAGCCCTTCCCCTCCCATCCTGCCGTCTGCCTCCTTTTCCCCCCTCAGAGACGGCGGGCGATGCTGGGCGGCGAGGAGAGCGGCCAGGCCGCGGCCGGAGGGGGCGCCCCAGTCTCCGCGGCCTCTCCCGCAGCTGAGGCGGAGGCGCCGGCCTTGGCCGCCCCCGCTGCTCGCGACGCTGAGGTGAAAAAGGACGAGGAGGAGGAAGAAGGAGAAGGAGAGGAGGAGGAGGAAGAGGCGGCGGCCGAGGCGGAGCGAGCCACCCGGCAGCGCTACGAGGAGCTCTGCAGCAGCCTCAACATGGACGAGCGCGCCCGAGCCGAGGCCTGGCTCAGCTACCAGAGTATGAGGAGGAACTACACCCTGGAGGTGGGGCCGGGGGCGGGGCCTAAGGAGGGGAGGGGGCCTGCGCGGCTGGCTGGCTGGCTGGCTGGACGGCCTCCCACCGCTAGTGGGCAGCAAAGCCTCGCAGCGCCCTTCCCTCTTGCAGGGGGTGGGGGGCGCTCTATGATGCCTCCAGGGCCATTCATAGCCTTGGCTGGCCAGCCTTTCGTTTGTATTCACAGCTGGTCCTCGACTTGCGTCCATATTCTTTGTAAAGTGAAACATTTGTTTTACCCCTTGCCTCTGTTAAGTGGATCACTACTGCAGTGCCATTCATTGCATTGGCTGGCAGCATTTCTTTTGCATTCACAGCTGGTCCTCGACAGAGTTTGTAAAGCAAGACATTTGTCTCCACCATGCTACTGATGGTCCTCATTCTCTTTTTCCTTCCACCATTCCCAGCATTGGAGCCTTCTAGAGAGCCAGGTCTTTGTGTAATACATCCAAAGTAGGATAATTTAAAACTGGGGGAGGGGGTTGGACTAGATCAGAGGTCAGCAACCTGCCGCTCTGTAGCCGTATGTGGCTCTTTCATCCCTCTGCTGCAGCTCCCTGTTGCTGGTCAGCTCCACAATTGATAGGGCCTTTGGTTAGGACAGGTAGAGGAAAAAGGATGCCACACTAGGAGGAGTCTATGATGAGGGAACTGGACTTCCGGTCGGCTCCAGAAATGAATGGAGGGCTTCTGGTTAGGGCTCTTTGAGTGTTTAAGGTTGCCGATCCCTGGACTATATGTCCCTTCCAACTCTGTTAATCTGTAAGCTTAGCTATTTGGACTCCAGAGGAAGTCCAGGTTGCCTTATTTGATGATCCGTCGGTTTGTTTTCTTGGCTGCCCATGGTCCTCTCGGGAGTCTTATCCAACACCAAAGTTGCTGGTGTAGAGTGAGGGTGTCTGGAGTTGGTTGTGGTACATCGCAAGGTTGTGGTGATTCACTGGGGTTTGTGTTTTATGAGTTTTATTGTTGTGATCTTGGAGAATATTGCTTAACCATACCCCACATTGTAAATTGAAATGAATAAGTGCTTCCCTTGGCAACTCATACCTCCAATACATCTGATAGACAATAGAAAAGCAGCGAAGAGACAAGAGTAATGAACAAAATAAGAGGCCTTCTGTGTTGAAAAGAGGAAGGATGTATAAATAAACATGTAATCAGTGAGCAGTGATGGATTTTAGCCTGAGGGTTTAAAGCTTACATAATTGTTTTGGTGGAATTACAAATCAGTAATACATTGTTCATGCAGACAGTTGTGGAAGCACATAGTCTGCAGTTAATGTGTTCAGAAAACTGTAATTTTAAATACAATCTTCCAAAAGATGCACCTGATCAGAAATACGCTGTATGCCTGTTATTTGCCTAATTAAATACTGGGTCTATATGAAAGTGTTCTCTATGCTTGGTGAGTTAGATTGACAGCATACCTATCACAATTAAATTATAGTACTGTTTGGTAAATAACATTCTACATTTGGCCACTTGATGAACAAACAAAATAAAACGAGTACGTTTCTTGGTAGGCCAGTATGAATATTGTGTTTTTTGAGTTGGCTGCATTGCCACTGCAATTTACCAGTAGGAATGGCTGCATGAATTCATGGCCTGTCATTCTGTAATCTCCCTGAAATCTCCATCTGTCTCTCACAGATCACATACACTGTTTTAGTACATTGTTAATTAATCCAGACTTTTATTATTCTGAACCTGAAGTTACTTCGATATAGCACAGATGTTTTCAGTAGTAAGAGAGTAATAACACACTACATGCTGGAAAAGCATAGATTAAACAAAGAAAACTATGCTTTAAACTTCAAATATTTATTTCCTTTGAAATATAATTGTAGAATTTAGAAACACTCAGTGGCTATTACATCAGTTCTGTTCGAATAGATGTAAACCAGATTGCTTATTGCAGACGTAATCCACAACATATGTGAATGTAAGCCTTGTAAATCGTTTCTGAATGTGTAAACTGGAGCTCACAAAGTCCTGCTACAGTTTCTCTATAGCGAAGGTGTTTCTCACTTTCTGTTTCCCTGGATCAAAGGTGCTTTTTCAAGAGGCAACTGGACTTTCTGGTTTTTCTTTGAAGGCGTTTCTTAAGACGGAGAATCTCCAAAGACATTTCCCTGCATCAGCTTTCCTCCCCCAATACAATATAATAATTGTTTATTTTGAACTGAACAAACTTTTCAAAGATGTTTATAATAAGCTAATAGCTCGCCAATTAACTAACATGGCTAATTCGCAGTGAGGGACAAATGCCTCGCAGATGAATTTATTTTGCTGTTTTAAATTAACAGGGAAACGATCTGCACTGGTTAGCATGTTCGTTATACGTGGCTTGCAGGAAAGCCGTCCCGACAGTTAGCAGAGGGACTGTTGAAGGAAATTATGTGTCTTTAATCAGAATACTGCGCTGTTCAGGACAAAGGTAACTTCTAAAATGTTATGTAGGACTGAGATTGTCAAGTTTAGAAAGTCTTCTGCAGAACATTATATTTTGATTTTAATGTGCAAATTGCTATAGTTAACTAGTGAAACCTTGTCATACCTTAATACATACTTCCTGATGGTTAGAGAGCACCTTAATCACATACAGGTAATCCTCGACTTACAACCGCAATTGAGCCCAGTATTTCTGTTGCTAAGTGAAACAGTTGTTAAGTGAATCTTGCCCCATTTTACAAACTTTCTTGCAACAGTTGCTAAGTGAATCACTCCAGTTCTTGAGTTAGTAACTTGGTGGTTAAATCAATCTGGCTTCCCCATTGACTTGACTCCTCAGAAGGTCGCAAAAGGGGATCACATGATCCCAGGACACTGCAACGGTCATAAATATGAGTCAGTTGCCAAGAGTCTGAATTTTGACCTTGGGGATGCTGCAACAGTCGTTAGTATGAAAAATTGATATAACTCGCTTTTTTTAAAAGTTTTAACTTCAAACGGTTACTAAATGAACTTTGGGGGTGTCAAGGACTACCTCCACCCTTATCCTTGTTCACCAGAAGTAATAGACAGTTGGAGTTACATAAGTTAGAATCGGTGTTCAGCAAAATGTTTTGGAATGTAAACGTTTCTTAAGTTTAAATTTCTGATCCTCGCAAATGTCTTCAGTTTAATAGAGTTTTTTAACAAGATGAAGAAATGGGAAGATATGGCAGACCTACCCTCCCAGTTCAGAGAACGTACCACAAGATTAGAAAGAAACTTTACAGTTTCTGCTGTAATTTTTAAGAAGTATGAACCCATTTTTCAGGATATTTTCAAGCACCCACAAGATGACCAACCACGACAGCCAAGAGGGAGAAAACAAAGGTATGTATGAATTCATAGGTGACATCAGTGGCTCAGTGGCTAAGACGCTGAGCTTGTCAATCAGAAAAGTCAGCAATTCGGCGGTTCGAATCCCTACCGCCGCATAACAGAATGAGCTCCCATTACTTCTGCCAACCTATCAGTTCGAAAGCACATAAAAATGCAAGTAAAAAAATAGGAACCACCTTTGGTGGGAAGGGAACAGCGTTCCGTGCGCCTTCGGCATTGAGTCATGCTGGCCACATGACCACGGAGACGTCTTCGGACAGTGCTGGCTCTTCGGCTTTGAAACGGAGATGAGCACCGCCCCCTAGAGTCGGGAAAGACTAGCACATATGTGTGAGGGGAACCTTTACTTTTTATGTATTCATGTTGTTAACTCAAAAATCTCCCAAGGAGGTTTCATGTCTTGTTCTTCAAGTATGAGCGAATTCATCACTTAATTCTTTATTAACTATTCGAGGCTGATTAAAGTACAGTTTTCAGTTGTGGTCCTAAATTGAGGACCACCTATTTATTACCTGTGTTTTCTTGACACATTCCAAAACTTACAGTTTTTAACACTTTGTTTCAGCTTCAAACAGGTTCTTTCTGATTTGGGAGATTTGTAACTATATTACCAATTCATAGTCTGTGTCTCCTTTACAACTGTTTTCTTAGGAAATGTCCTTCCTGAGTTAATCTATACTAATTCGTATTTTCACTGATCACTCTGATTGCTAGGCTTGTAACTGATAAGGTAAAATTATATGCTGATTAAGGGCCTAGTATCATTGCTTTATTTAATAAATGCAAGAGCTATAATATCTGCACTAGTAGTTCATTTTTTTTTAGCCTAAAGGTTCCAGGCTATCAAATTAAAGAGGAAATACGCATTTATACCACTTCCTTGGTCCAGCCTGAATGTCTATAAATAAGCATCTTCTGGGGTTTACATTTTGAAACATTTTATTAGATAATTGAAACGTAATTTGTTTCTTTTTCATGGCTACATTTCTAAAAAGGAGGCAACCTTGCACTGTCTCTGAAGTTTTCCAGTTTTGCTGGGTCCTCTTTGTTTATGCAAAAGGTAAGAATCTTTGTTGTTTTTTCTCATTGATTAGAATATAAGGAATAGTAATGATGCTAGGTAACTACCAGCCCATTATGTTTCTGCCTTGCTTTCAAAAAAGATTGGGACAGGACATATTTTGGAATAGGATAGATGATACATATATTTGATAAATTAGCAAAATATCCTTTTAGTGTTAAATGTTTAGTGTTTAGTGTTTAAGAGCCGAGGTGGCGCAGTGGTTAAATGCAGCACTGCAGGCTACTGCTAGATCAGCAGTTCAGCGGTTCAAATCTCACCGGCTCAGGGTT